TCGTGTTGATGCTGAGGATGGTGAGCGTCGAGTGTGTTGAAGTTGAAAGACGGCATACAGTCATCGTCGTCTCCAAGGTCCATGGCCTCGAGGGGTTCGTTTTGGCCAGTGGCAGCAAAGCTCGCAGGTAAAGAGGAGGGAGAGGACGAGGAGGTTGCAAGGCCGGGGTTGCTGTTGGCGGTGGGCATGCACGCCTCGGCTCCAGTACCACTCCCAGCGGCGGGGGCGGCGGAGGAGGCAGGCGGCATGTTCTGGTACACGCACGAGAAGTTCTTCTCTGCGCAGCGGGTGCACCGTGGGGTCCGCTTGTCGCAGCGCCTCTTGCTCCGTACGCAGGCGTTGCAGCTCTTCTGCCGCGACTTGTCCGCGGCGTCCACTACGTCACTCACCATATCCAGGCCCTCGGCAGCTGGCATTTCTGGTCTGCCCTGCCGTTGCTGGGAGGAGACTGTACTGGGCACTAGGCTTTGTTCCCCCCTGTTAAGCAGTAGCATCAGAGAAGGGGCAAAGGACAGAAAGGTCGGTACGCGCAGTTGGGTCCGATTAACAATGCGTGAGAAGAGTGTGTAAGGTTGAGAAAAGGGCCACAAGAATCTTGTGATCCCCACGTCGAAAGTCGATGGTCTCAGAGCGAGAGTGATAGAAAGGCCCGATCTGAGCTTACGTAGGCTATGTCCGTAAGCCGTAAGCACGCTTGGTCAGTCAGCCGTTGGGCGGAGGTTGATTCCCAGTGTCAGATTGCTGGGATTTGGGGCGGGGCGGAGAGGGCCGGAGGGAATGTCGTTGTGGAGGTTCAAACTCCGCTCCGCGCGTAAGCCCAAAAGTCCGCACGATGCGCGGCCCCGCCCGGCGGCCACCGCTACCCGTGGGAGAGATTCCCCGTAGCAATGAATGAACAACTCCGCAACGACGATGACCGAAACTCCGCAACACTGGCATCTGCCCAACCCACTTCGCGATACCCTTCCCTCGAGCATGCAATGCCACGTGTGAACATAAGCGGATGCCACCACTGCTCTGGCGGCACTTTGTCGCCACGTTCCCGCAGTTCGTCTCGGCCCCGCCTCACCCACCTGCTCGCTTATCTGTTTGCGGAAAAGGGATGAACTCATGGTGTCGTCCAAGTAATCATTTGGCCATGCTGTGCTATCAGAATCCGGCGATGTAGAAGAGCCCGAGGCCCTCTTAGTGATTCGCCGCCAACGGCAGACGGCTCCCAGAAACCACCCACCAAACCACAGCGTCCCGTATCGTTCGTCGCTTTCTCGCGTTGCTACCGAGCTCTTACACCCACCCACAATTTACTTTCCGTTACCGTCGATGACATCCCCATAATTTGCTAGTTTCTGCTTGCGGCAGGCCATCGCCCTACGACGCGTCCCTGCACGCTTTCACATGCCCATCCTCCCATTCATGATCGACGCACCAGTTAGTCCAACAGCCGCGCCCGGGCGAGCCATCCCCGGCCCGATGCCACTGAATCTTTCTCGCGATCCGACATGGGGCTGATTGCGGCCTTGCGCTTGAACCTCAGCAGCTGACTTTTAGCCCAACCCTCCCCCTTTTTCTCCCACCTGCCACGAAGCCTCTCGCCGGTAACGTCGCGATCGCCCACGCCACCGAGACCATATGATGGTCCCCATACCTCATCCGACCCAAAGCTGCCGTTTAGCAGGGACCTTGCCATGGGGTTGCCACAGGCTATCCGCTGAACCGAACAGCTGGATTCCGTCTCGCCTACTCTCCGTTATCTCCACAGGATCTAGGCCACTCGGGCCCCCGGACCTGGCTACGTGTCGCACACCTTACCAACCCGATACGCCCGAATATGACAGCCGCGGACGGGTATGCCTCCTTACATCGACGTCCATTGTTAGCAACACTTTGCTTCGTATCGGATTTGGTCAAGCCCGGACTCGCCAGCGCTCGTTTCGGGTCGTAGCCATACCTCGTTCAAGCCTTTGCCGAAGGAGTGGTGGAGTGCAGGCCAGACAGCCTCGCTCGTAGCCGCGAAACCTTTCAGGGTGTAGAAGAAATAGCAAGGCCGGGCCATGTCAGCCGCTACCGGTCGTTGTTGCTATCCCTTCTGCACTTTGCCATGCCGCTCGCTATACGGACCGGCCACGAAGAGATCCCCGGACGAAGGAAGCTGGAGGGCCCGGCCCCCGTATGCAGCATACCCGGGCGTAACACACGATCTAGGTCCACTGACAAAGGTGTATCAATCTACTGGTCTCAAAAGAAGGTCGGGTTCGAAAGGTCGGGAAGGGGAGATGCGGGGATCACCTTGGGTTGCCATGGTACACCACCTTTCAAAAGCCGAACAGGCGTCCATTCATCTCATCATGGGGTGGGGGTCTAGCAAACGTGGCACGAGCATAGCAGTGCTTCCTGGTGCAACAGTAAACAAGACACCCGAGGATTGCGCATCGTTACGCAACATGATCGAAAAGAGGGAATGAGAGGCAACGGGGAGCCCGACATTCGTCCGCAGTTTCTCTCCCCCTGGGCCGTGCAAGCCAGCTCAAGCCACGGGGATGGATGCGCCCACCCAAACGTTCCCGATGGTAGTGCCCATCACGATCATGCCCGGGGCGCCTTCTTGTAGCCTCTAACGTAACTATATCGCGATGGACAATGCCGGCGAACCCCCATGGGCCTCGAATACGGTCCTCCGAATCAGCAATGGCAAGATCCAGCTAGTCCGACGAAGATCACTGGACTGCCCTCGCAGGTTCAGGCCAAGGGCCAACGGCGAGCAGCAAAATGGTCGAGAATGAGCCTTGGATAGGGGCCGTATCCTGTTCTTTGTGGCTGCCGCCACATCGGCGCACAGGCCGATGCCCGGATCGCGATGAGATCGTCACATTTTGGTGTCACTGACAGCAATCTCCTCCGCCAGCCTCCTGGCCGCCCACGGTGGCGCTCTACTGTCCAGAAAAGCAAGTGGGGGGCTTGTCACGATCTCGTGTACTGGGAGTGCCTTTTGAAACCACGCTACTGAGCAGAGGCATCTCTTGGGAAGAGAGGCGGCGGGCGGGCTCTTGGAGGGGAGGGGGGGTGAGGGTTTGATTTCTTCGTACTCATGTCGTCCGAAGAATGGCCTCCTGGCCGCACACGATGCCTCAAAGACAGCCCATGTCTCGGAAGCATCGTCTCTTTGCCTGGTTACCAATGGCTCGGAGACAAAGGCTATCTGCATTTTGTACTCCCCTTCGTCGCTGGTGGGAGGAGTGGGTGCAACGCAAGCCAGACTTTTTGGCTGCGGGCCGCCGAAGGGCACGACGCCACGAGGCAATAGACGAAAGCTGCAAACAGGTTTTCGTCGCACAGGTTGAGTGTCTCAGACATCCCACCCCCACCTCCAATATCTTAGTTGTGGCGGCGGCCTAGTGCGTATTGAGATGGACAAACACGTTGTATCCTATGCCCAAAAACTGCCCTCCACAGCCTTCCCTCAAGCTTCGTCAGCATTGACGGTCCACACCGTCGCGTTCCAGCCTCCGCGCGCGCGCGCGCTATGGGTCGAGCCAAATGACTTCGGCATCGTTGACAGGTCGGAAAATAACAAGATTAGGTCCTCGGTCTCGTCGCAGGGGTGTCAAAGCAGAAAGGAAGAATACCGGGCCCGCCTTGAACCAATGCAGAACAAGTAACCCCCACCGATTGGCACATTTTGTAGTACCCGCCCCTATCACGGAAGAGTAGGCCCGTTGGCAAGTCTCTCTCTCTCTCTCTCTCTATCGGAGGGAGAGCCATGGGCCGAGTGGACGCTGCAAATCGAAGACATTCGGAAGGTAAAGCACACTGACGACAAAAGCGCCTGTGCCTTGAGGCATTGTGGGCAGATTCCGAGTGACTCTGCGCGGGGATACAGTGCTTGGCTCGCCGCCTCTTTCTTCCCTAAACATGCCAGACTCGGTCAATGTGAGGGCCACCTGCAGCCGCTACTCGCAGTAGGTGAAATGCTCACAGACTGGTCCTTTCGCCGACTCAGCAAAGGTACTCCTCCCCCCCCCCCCCCCCCCCCTTTGGTATATGAGTCGGAGGCGGTGATGTATTTGTTTCGTTGTTCCTGACGCCCCTCTTCCGCCGCCACAGAGTGTTGGCACTGCCGGACGCGGCCTGCCTCTCCGGACCCATATCTGCAGGACGCCGGGGTCATCGGCTGTTCTGTGCGGACCGCAAGGGGCTGCATTGTACATTATATTATGTACGCTTCCTGGTGTAGATCATTGGTCAAGACAACCACCATCAAAAGCCCGTTGGTCTGGGACAACACCCAGTGACACTGGCTGCTGTGTCCATATCCTGTCGTGCAGCATTGATCGGGTCGGGACAGGGACAAGATGCATCACACATACACACACACACACACCCACCCCTGAACGGACTCGTTGGACCCACGCGCCTGGCTCGCGTGGAAGCAGCGTGAAGCATCACGCTATGGATTGGCCATCGTTGCTGTTTTGGACGGCGCGTGAGACATCGTCCGAAAGCCGCGAGAGCTAAAAGCCGTTGACGGCGTGCTTGGCTCCTTTCTCCCGGGCACACCCAGTCTCTGGATGTTCAACCGCAAGACTGGTTTTCCTGCCAGGATCCGGTTTTCCAACGGTTGCCAGTCAGCAAACAATGGTCCGTGGCTGATGGGGGCTCCCCGAGCGAGACTGTAAGAGGAAACTCTGAGCATGCTGGCAACCATGCAGATGCCGTCTGAGGATTGCTTGGGCATAGCGCGTTGTGCTACGTATGAGGCGAAAAGGCATAAAGGTTAGACGTCGAGCTCAAAATCAAGTACTGGTACCTGGATAATCCATCCGAACTTTGGTGATACGCCCGTGCCCGGGCTGGGGTGGCCGCTTACGAACCCAGCAGTTGGCGAAGGGGCTCATTTGGAGCCACGGTGCCTGAAAGCAAGCACATTCGGGTCGCTGAACTGTTTGAAGGGAGCCGAATCAGATGCTGCCGAGGGAGTGGCGGGGACTCTGGTCGACGGGAAAATGTGCTGCTCAGAGAACAAACACGTGAGCACGCGTTTGATGGCCTAACACGCGCAATAGGTCATAGTAAGTACAGCGTACTGAGAGCATTACGAGTGAGTTTCGGCCGCAGACGGGACGCGGTGCTGATGAATTCTCAATAGCGCGTGCCTGGGAACAGTAGTCTTGATGCCCGCAAGAAGCACACTGATTGGGGACTGACAGGCGACAGAGGTCTTCCTTGACCAGAAGAGTAAACCGGAAAAGTTTGGGAGCGTTGTTAGAGTGTTGACTAGGCAGGAAGCGACTACTCCTGAAAAGCAAGGCGATGTCGATGAAACTGAAAAGGTAGAGGCTTCTTGCGCCAGGTTTGATAGATCTCTGGCATACAACGAAACTGGAAGCTGCCTGCATGTGCTGCTCGGCATCCGTAAGGCAGTCATCCCGAACGGTGGACGCGGCCGACGCAAACGATCCCACATGGACAAAAACGGACTCGGCCGACCAAGCGATCCTGTCTTGCGAGGTCCATGGGTCAGGGGGCGGCTCTGTATCGGTGAAATGCAGCGTAAGCTGGGTACATGGACGAAACGAGCAGGGCGTTTGCCTGTCCGTCCGAAATCTCTCACGGGGCGACCTTGATCTGAGGCGGGCTACCACGACTCGCCGCGACCCGCGTCAAGGGCCCGACATCGGGGAGGGCACGAACAAAGAAGGCCACATGTCCGAACTCGATGAATCATGCGGAGACGGTGAACAAACAACCGCATTTCCATTGGTGGGGAAGCTCAATCGCGATGAACTGGGGGAAGATGAGAGGTAAGCCGAACTTCGAGCGAGATGGCCTCAGAACCAGTATTCACCTTGCAGAAGCGTACACAGTTTACATACAAACAAACAAATAAATAAAGGCAGTGGTCTCCGGCGATCTGGACGGCGCCTAATATTGTGCTCTCAGTGCCTAAAGCCATGCCCAGCCGCGGTAAAATTATCGCTGCCATTTGCGGAACTTGATGGCACAGTAGGCTTGTTTCATGCGATCTACCTTGGCCTTTCTTCTTCTTCGTTCCCTTTCTTCTTGTTCTTCTTCTTTTTTCCCGGCCCTCTTTTTGCAAAGAAGGGATAATTTCCTTTTCTCCCCCCATTGGGACGGGGCTTTTCAACCAAATAACACTAATATGGTCCATGCCTGCAGAAGAGCAGGTATCTATCTAGGTATCTGGTTGTGAAGAGGCGATCGAATGTACGTGTATAACAGCAGGTGTCTCGGGCAGCCGTCCTTTTCGGAGGAAGCGTCCGCCTCCCCTACAGGCCGTGAAGGGTAAAGCCGGCGCCGGGGCCAGAGAGTAAGGAAAACATGTTGTTGCTATTGCCCGACAAGGGAATGCTGGCGTGGTGTGTTGCATGCATGTCCCATGCCGTTAGTAAACGTTCTCTGGTGGGTTGTACCCCGGGAGCCGGAAGCCGCCCAGCAGCGAAGATCCTCAGCAGTGCCTACACACTGGCAGGTGGGAGAAACGTGGCACACAAATGCGAGGAACCGATGGGCCGTCACGCAGGCGGACGTGCGAAGCAAGGTGCCTTTTCCCACCAACCCAAAGGCCAACCCCCCGCACCTCGAGAAACGCATCCGTCGAATCGAATCGACCGTCGAGGTCCAGCCAGAGTGGTACCGGTACTCGCGCATTTCTGTGTATGTTGAAGGTGTGCGGATAGACCTGCCCACGCAGCATGCTTCAGATGCGCCGATGACTGCATTGGCTCATGGTATGAACGGGCAGTCCTGTTCTAGTTTTCCCTTCCTTTCTTCTGCGTCCATCGCTCAGCGAAAGAGAGAGAGTGTGAGAGGGGGGTGACTGAGCATGTCGACATACTTGCAGTATCTGTAGTGTAACTAAGTACTGAATAGCCGACGATGGCGCTGCCTGATTCCCCTCGTTGCAACTCCACGTGGGACGACTACCATAGACCCACTATTTTGCGTTTAATGATGATGTGCAAGGTGCCGTAGGTATCCTGGAATTGGTTGGTGGCAGGAGTATTATTGTACCTATACGGTACGTCAGTGCTGACATCCAGTGCTGCCCTTCACTGGTGAGGACAGTTGTGGCCGCCAAACCGATAAAGAAAACTCGTCGAGACTGACAGCTAGGGTTCACAATGTTTGAGCAAGCAGATTTTGTTGATCATGTCTGGAGTGGTGCGACGACTCCCAAGCTTGTTTGTGGAGACACCTTCTGGGAACTTGACTCGGATGCTATGCCATTCTGTGGCCTCCATTGATACGGAAAAGAAAATGAGGGATCGCGTGCGTGTATGCGCCGTTGGGGACTGAAAAGCCTTTCACTAGAGTAGGTCTAGTGTTGAGGACTGTGTGCCCCTCGCTCCCGTCCTAGCGGCGATGCTTTCAATCGCTGCCCCATGTAATGACTCCGCATGTCATGGCTATATCGCTGCCATCAACCGAAGAAAGACATGGGCATGAGCGTTGAATCATAGGAACAGACGCTTGGACGCAGAGGCTCTCTTGAGTAGTTTCGGCATCCCCCCCCCGGGTACTTGTTTAGCCCCAACTCCCTGCCTGTGTGGCGGGTGCGGTGTCGGTGTCGCCGTAGGGCTTGCGGTGATGCAGCATGTTTGGAAAAAGATTGATAGCCATCGAGTCAAGCAAGACCCGGTCCAGATTAATCTGGACACATGCCCAGGAAAGGGTCTGCGAAAGCCATCGACCGGTGACGGCAACCTGGGAGGTCGCTTTGTAACCCATGTCTCTATGGCGCGGGAGACTTTGCCGAGCAGCCTTGATGATTGCGTTCCTTAGCTGCACTAACGTGTCCTGAGCTGTGCTCGCCACGTGGGGAAGAAGACGGACAGTCGCTGACGTGAAGGTGTGTCAATTCAGGCCGAGTTTCAAATCGTAGATGGGAGTTAGATCGGCGGAACTGTGACAACAGCGAAGATTGCCGCGCACACTATACTAGTGTGGACTACGTATAACCAAGCATCCTTTTGCCGAAAGGATTCTTCAGGGTTCTTGCTGGTAGCAATGTGGAGAGGACCGGCGTCTATAAAAGCTCAGAAAGTCTCTAACTCGGACCCATCCGAATGATGGGCGTCAAGAGGTGACCGTGTACACAGATTCATGCCAAAAGCTTGGCAAGGCCACATACCTGTACATACGCAGTACATTCACTTTGCAGGCACCTTGTTGAGGTAGTTGGGTACGTACCTGACCGGTCCCCTCAGGGCAAACAGGATTCGGTGACGTGACGAGAGTTTCCAGACGGCTATCTAGTCGAGGCATCCAAAGCAAGCAAGCGGTTGGTAAACGGCGATACCGGAATAGGATGTTCATCGGCGAAAAAGCAAGCCCCGAACTAGGTAATTGTTTTATTTTGGTGAATGATATCGGAGGGTTTCTTTTCTTTTTCTTCTCCTTTCTTTTCGTCTTTGTAATAATTGCTCGAGTCAGAACGATAGTGCATACTTATGGGAATAGGTAGAAGACGACGGGCTGAGAAGAGGGAGCCAGTGGTCCGGCTTGCCGACCGGTCTGGATAACGTGGCTCGCGGCAGGTTAGACTTTTGTGTGGTCATGCAAGCATTCTTCGGCAAAGGCGGTGCAGCACCGTACTCTCCGCTGCATTCATTCGGTCTCCGCGGACGAGGTCAAGTCCGAAAGAGTTTTCGATGGCTACCGGGAGCGTGCCTGCGGTAGCAAAAGACGTAAAGAAGCATTGATCGACGTCAAGCCTCCGTTGTGCGGGAGGGTTGCCGCAATGGAGAAATGGCAGATCCCCTGTCCGTGGATGGTGAGGCAGTACCTAGCAAGGCGGGAACCGGAAAGGTAGGACCTGGTGTCGAGGAGGAGAGGATGTGTTTTCATATGTAGGCTTTCGTATTCGTACGCTTGAGGTTACTCAAGAGCAGACGTGACTGGCGCGGTATCTGCGATGATGTAGTATGGCGAGGACAGACGAACCGACAGCCATGAAGGCGCAATTGCTGGGGCTGCGGTAACCAGGTGATTGACGACGGGTGAAAGTTTTTTTTTTTTTATCTTCTTTTTTCTCTCTTTCTTAACACACACTACACCCCTCCCCATTCTCCCAATGGAAAAGGTAGCGCTGAATGTATCTTGCACTTGGCCAGTACTCGGTGCAAGCCTCACGTGGTCGGCAGATCGCGCATTGTAGCACCTGTCAGGTGGGGAAGAATAGGATGGAAATGGGCCAAGCAGGAAGGACGGAAAGATCAACGGTGGACGTGGACCTGGTATTGGTAGTGGACGAATACAGTAGGTAGGTGGATAATGTGCCTCGAGCACAAATAGTCAGATACCTGGTTAGGTAGGTAGGTAGGTACCTCAGTAGGTATCTGGTAGACAGGTACAAATACATCGCATGCTACTGCCTAATCCAAGTATAAACAGGTGCATGCACACAATACCGGTACGTCGCGCGTGGGTATTATGGAGGAAAACCCCACAGGCGCTTTGGCAACCGCCAATCAGACGCGGACGTCGATGAGGCAGTGTGGGAAGTCACGGCCGGCCAAAATGTGTGCAGGCAGGCATGGGAATCTAGATACGTCTCCACGTGCCCGAGAAAGCCAAGTGCCTTGGCCTCGGGATGCTCTATGCTTCCCGAGCTGAGGCCCCCTACATAGCTAGGTACGGAGTAGTGCCATGTACAAAAGTGCAAGCACATGGGAGGTACCTACTAGTAGGTGGTAGGTAGTTTGCAGCACCTGCACTTGCCGCGCGACCTGATTGACAGCGGTGGCCGTCGGACTTGGTCTCCGTGCCCCATGCCCAGTTTTGGTCTTCATCTCGACCAAGATGTAACGCACAACAGAATCTTCTGATTTATCAGTGGTAAGCCGAGATACATGGCAGTTGGCGGTGATCAGGAGAGCGAGCAATTACAGAGTGTCGATTCATACCTGACCTGGACCTGACAAGCCCCGGTATTGTATATCAGCATCTCATCTGGTGCAGATTACCTACAGACTGTGCCGTCGAGGAGAGGGGGAAAAGGAAAAGGGAAAAAGTAAAGAAAAAAGAAAGACCTTCTTCCCTGCCCCACTTCGCACGAGGCTCCCTTGTCGAGACTTAGCAGCTAGCGCCATCACACCTTTTGATAAACACACACGCGCACACCACACCGGGACACTTGCATACACACTCACACATACACCAGATCAGTGTAGACTATAGTGTACGTAGGAACTATCCGTAATAGAGACACACCGCACTGAACCGGACTGGGCCTATCCACCTCTTCCACTTTTCCGTCGTAGCCGCCAGCCACTGAGGCGCGGACCTAATGGGTTCCGGAGCTGCTTGTCAATATTTGTCGTTTGGTTGGCACGTTAGGAGGGGAAACAAACTTGACGGTATTTGCATGGAAACGGGGCGTTTGTCTGAATCAGACGGACGTTCCAGGCCCTGAGTTGGGGTGGACTCAGAGCCGAGCACTCGTGCGAACCTCGCTCACGAGCACAGTTACCAGTCCACCAAACAGAGATGGGCCGTCGGGAGGTGTTCTTGCAAGATGGTCGTCCTAGAACGTGCAAACATAAAACAGCTCGGCTCAAATCCAAACAGTCTGCATCGTGTGCCAGGTACTGTGGGAACTCTGAATCCCAAAGGGGGGGGGCGCCCAACGTGGAGTTTTTCTTAATTGTCTTGCATCTTTGCCTGCCACAACAACAGACACCAAGCAGTAGCATCACCTTATTGGCCATTCCGAGATTGCTTCCCTGGATGTCGTGTACGCAATGTACTGGTGCCGTGCCGTGCTGTGCTATGCTCTGCTGTGCTGTGCTGTGCTGTGCTGTGCTGTGCCGCACTGTACTATGTGCGCATCCCTTCCTCGTCTGTCTGCCTACGCATCGCATCGCCGTCAGTGACACAAACAAGCACAATCAAGCCCAGCGGGTACCTGTAATTAGCTGTCGGCCAAGGAGGCAGACGGCCAGTTTGCTGCACTGTCACGTCCTGTTTGACAGGACCGTAACTACCATGGTTCGCCGAAAGCCAAAAGCAAAGTGGTGCCCGGAAGAACCGAGACATGGTACGCACCCACAGCCTACCTAGGTATCTCATAGTGATTAGTTTCCCAGAGTGGATTGTCAGGATTCCTTCTTGTCGTCCTGCTCATCGTCCGGGTCGAGGAACTCGTAGGTACGCTTCTCTCCGCTGGCGCTGGACGTTTCCAGGTGCGAACGGCTACGGACGGAGTAAGCATCCTATTATGCCTACCTACCTACCTACCTACCTACCTGGTTTACTACATAGTAGACTTTGTACGTAGTGCATGCTATGAACCACAAGAGGCGAATGACGGTGGGCCATGGAGCTGCTTTGTCGATCCGACCTCGTCGCTGGCGCTGGCGCTGGCTGGCACTCTACCGCATGGTCTGCACATGGGACCGATCGGCCCAAATCCAGTCGCCTGGAATGGATTACTTACTACCTGCTACGCTACTGACATGGCGGGATGGGCCCGTCACCCACGAATGGACGTGCACATCCCGCATCACCCATCACCTATCGCCCGCCGCCCGTTGCCCGTCGCAAGTGGTGCCGCTCCCAGCTGTTCCCAGCCCGGTACGCACGAGGCAAGCAGCCAACGCAGCCTGCAAGGCCCCGGCTGGAACGCGCGAGGTGCCATGACCGCTACCAGCTCCGCACGCGGGTGCCACGCCTTGTGTGATGGTGCCCACTCGGCGCATGTGCACAAACTCAAAAGTCCTGTCAAGGTATATACCTGTACGTAGTGTATGCCCCCTGCCATATATGGGATACTGCCCAAGGTGATTAATTACCCACAGTTACGACCGGGATACAAGAGGCACCGTCCTCTTCCGGCTCATCCCCGGAACCGGGGGCTCTTCACTCTACACTGCATAGTGTAGTGTATCGTAACGTACTCGTACGTCTAGACATAAGTACTGTAGGTAGGTACGGATAGTGTACCTAAGTATGGTACGGTAGGCTGTGGGCAGCCCTGTGCTTCCACCCATATCCCTCCCTTCTCTGAGGAAAGCGGGTTTTTCCTAGGCAGGCACCCTGGACTTTATATTTTCCAACTCCATCGGCGTCCGACATCACCATACCCGTCTGTCTTATACCTCCACTCGGCAAGTTACAACGCGTAAAACTCCAAGATGGCCGACTACACAGGACTGTAGCAGCAGAGCAGTCCGCATTCGACCGAGTTTGTGAATCGGGAATAGCGTACAAAGTACTCCGTAGGTAGGTAAATAGGTAGGTAGGTAGATAGGTAGGTAGGTAGGTAGGTAGGTAAGTATACTGGGCCTCCAGGCACATACTATAGGGGACGCACGGTCGACTCCCTTGCTTTGTTTGTTAGTTGTCCTTGCTTGGCACTACCGGTAGGTAATAGTGGAGGTCGTTAACTGGAACACTCTATGCAACCCCCGTGCCATCGATTGGATATCCGTAGCACATCAACACGTTGCACGATGGGAAATGTGCTGGATTTGGCAGCACATGGGCCCCCGCTGCCGCCGCTGGAATTCTCGGCCAGCCCTCGTCCCCTTTGCCCTCTGTACGGTACGGCGCATGTACCTGCCTCCCAAAAAGTCGACATGGTACCTACTGTGGACCTTAGCGCTACGACGTGGCACGGCTTGCAGATACCTGTCCTGGTACGGACGGGCATTGGTGACCCTATTCCGGGGTTGCGGACAAACCCCCCCCCCCATCGTCGACATCTGATCCAGGGACCAGATCGGCACCGTAGTCCGAACCACGAGACTGACGCCTACGTGGCCGCGATGGCGTCGATACATTCTGTTTTAAACACCGGTCCGGCCTCCTTATCTCTTTGCGTCGGCCTGTCTGGCATTCGTGGCCCGCCGAGCCTCTCAAAATTGCTTCTGGCCCCCTCCAGTTCGCAAGCCCCGGGGCCCGGCATCTGGTCTCGGTCGCTGTGAGACGAAACATGAAAACAACGGACCCGTCATCAGAGTCCCACATCATCATCGTCATCACCATCATCATCATCCATTCCTTTTGTTGGTAGCCGCCTCTCGACGTCCCCGAGACCAGTCTTAGGTCCAACGTGCCGGTCTGGCCAGGTCGGGCATGGCATCGAGGTGCCTAACGTGTCTGCTGCTGCCAACCGCCGCCGCCATAATCTCACTACCGTCTCACCATCTCGAGCATTCGTTCTGTCGGAAAATCCTCCGGTGTACGCTTCTACGGCTACTAAACTAGGATTGGAGGACAACGAGATCAAGGTTATCGGCAAAGACCGAACAACAGCGACAAGAAGAAGAAAAACAACACGAGACACCGGGAAAGGGGCGGTATATGGGATGGCACACAGGTTGCTGGAGAAAGATGTTTTGCCTCCGAGCCATCTACCTTGGAGCTGAACAGAGAGGCTTTGTTATCCCGAGAATACTTTACCTACTCTGGAGGGCATACAAAACACAAGAGCACGCAGACACACACCACACACACCACACACACACGCCCACCACACGCGGCTGCTAGCAAAAACCTTCTCTAGGATGCCACACGACGATGGGGGGATGCTCGATGCATGTGAGGGCGACGACCCCACTCTAATCGGGAGACGGTCCACCCCTCGAGCTTCCCAGAAGAGGAATGGCACATCCACGAGGGCGTAGGGAGTACGTATCGATACATGTGCAATGCCAGCCTTTCTGAAAGTCATGGGGCTCACAAACACAGGGATGGCGATCGTGGGCCGAGACATACAGACTATGTACTCGCTACAGCCGAGTCCGGGAAATAAGAAACGTGAACAACGCCCATGCGTGCCCAAAACTCCCCGAATAGAGTTCGGCCTTGCCGCCTACGCGGCCATGTAGCCCCCTAAGCCAGCTGTCTGCAGGGTAGGACAAAGAGATGGATCGGGTGGCACCCCCCCTCCCCGAGCACGCTGTGCAAGGACTGAGTCGAGGCTACTCGGCCGTCAAGTACTGCCTCGCCTGGCTCAAAGCGGACTGTATTGTACAGCGTAACCCCCCCCCCCCACCCCCCCTGTGCACTGGCTGCTCCCTCTTGGAGGCGTGGGCTGGCGCGGTGCATGCACTCACTCGATCGAGCTACTGCTACACTTTATTCAAGGAGCGCCCTCCTGCGATGGCGATACAGTAGGTACGGATACCTTCCCGACCTTACCTTATTTCCAGGTTTGAGGACACCCCAAACGCCCTGGATGGTTTGGAAGATGGGAGGTGGTGGGCGAGTAACAGAAGAAGACCAAGGCGGAGTGGATGGTGGCTGCCGATGACGACGTTCTCTGCCAGAGCCGCCGTCGCATCATACCAGTCCGTTCCTCTTGCACTGTTGCCCATTGCTTCTGCAACTGACTGTTGCCGCCGTATACATACCCACTTACCTAGCTAGCTACTTAGGTAGGTGAGTATCCGCAAGTCTATCTGCGCAGCCTCCCCTGTCTTCGTTTGTCTTTTGTGGATGAATACCGGTAGTCGGTTCTCCTTGCTGTGATGGTGGGACGTAGGAAAAGGAAGAGAGAGTTACATGCCATGCCATGCCATGCCATTTCGTGCTATTTACCGGGTATGTGCGAGCGAGCCTTAGGGGGAGATGGGAGATAGAGAGAGAGAGAGTTTAACTTCACTCCCCCCCCTCCCCCTTGCCACACCTTCTGTATCCATAAACCCTGTCCTGTCTTGCCCTGTCCTGGACTTGTCCTAACCTGTCCTGTCTGTCCCGTGCATCCTCTCTGCCCCGACCCGACCCCCGTACGAACGCCGTCGTCTTGCCGCTACACCCCTCCGCTTTCCTTACCACCACCACTGCAGTGTACCCGTACACTATTACCGTACCCTCCAGAGGTACTTATCTGCTCAGGCCCAAGTCGACCACCTTTCCACCCACCCACCTAGCGCTCCCGCCTGTTCAATTCCATCTTATCCCCTCCCACCCCAGCTCCCCATTATTCAAACTGGACTGCCTTGAGCCCGGCTGTCCTCCACACCCGCCTTTCTCTGCCTTATAGCACCTTCACCTTCGACTTTACTAGACGTCCTCCTTTTCCTTGCCCCTCGACTCCGTCCTATACAACCTTCCCTATCCCATCCTCGTCCCCTTGCTCAGGTTTTCCTTTCGCCATCTCCCCGCTCGTTTACTGTCAACCCCTCTACGATTCGACCAGCCTGCGCGTGCAGACGCCTTCCGGGACGCCGCCGTCGCTTTTGCATGTTCAGCATAATTCAGCTCTGATCTTCCGCGCTAACTACCTCTACCAACTAACCGCCCATTATTGATCTCCTCGTCTCTTCCCAACCGCATTGTTTAGCACAACTACAAGGCCTGCGCGTCGTCTTCGTACCCGGCCGTGATTCTTTGGCACCGGTTTTCAGACGACTTCCGAATCACATCATGGACACGCAGCGACCAAGCTCTCAGAAGCTCCCCGCGGGATTGGCTGGTGTTTTAAACCCGGACGAGAACCGTGACTCGGCTTATTTTTCCAGTACAGATGCCTCGAGCAAGCGTATGTTGACCAAGAGCCAACAAAACGTGCCTTGAGATCAAGCGTGACTGACCCGATACTCGTGCAGACAACTCAACCGCCTCAGGCATGGGCACCAATGTCCTCAGTCCCACCGGCTCCGGCTACCAGTCTTCGCTGGCCGACAAGACACCCTCACCTGTCACCGCAAACATGGTTCCTCAGCCGCTGGTGTCCCCTGCCCAAAGCAACATGAGCGTTGCTTCGATGGTGTCGCCAACTGTCGGCGGCACCGACCCGCGTCGAGTCGAGCGCCCGACGTCATTGGACTCCGGTATGGCCCACGACTTGATGGGTCCCGGGTCTCGCAGAGAGAGCGTCGACAGTAGAATAAACCAGAACTTTCACGACATGCGATTGGGCGGGAACTCCCCGTATGCAAGCCACAATCAATCGACAACCTCGATCCAGAACACCCTTAATCAGCAACGCAACCCCCGTAATGGCCTCGACAACCTTTCTGTCCACCGCATCTCCAACGGATACCAACCGAGCAACGACAGGAACCCCGAGAACCCCAAGATCATTCGGACTGCTCCAGCCATCACCGGTCCCGCGACGAGTAATATTGCGAGAGCAGCGGAGCCCACAAAGGGCCAGGCATGGGCGTTTCCCGAGGAGGACATACAGCGGATCGGCCCCAATGACGCGTACCTCGACTCCAGGCGAAGCAGCATTGCTGAGTCAATAGCCAGCAGCCAGTTTACA